CATGGACGCGGGGCTCCGGGCAGCTCTAAGCCACAGGCAGCTCACCCTCTATCTCCTCGGGAAGGGGAGGCTGGCGGGGTAGAGAGGTAGGCTGTCCCCGAGGACCCTGCATCCGGACCGCCCAACTCCTTCCATCTTGCCCTCAGGCGTTTCGTGCCCCCCCACACACCCTTAAGGACCGTTTTGTAAAGATACTGCGAGAGGCTGGCCAGAGGTTTACAGAGCAACAGGCGAGCTGAGCTTTGCCAGGGCGACCCTCGAGCAGCAAGGGAAGGGAATGGAGACACTAGGGGCTATCTGTGCTGCCTTCTAAGCTACTCCGCATCCGAAGCAGCAATATCCCCGTGTCTCCCGGTCCCTTCGGAGGCCGCAGGACCCCCGGGGAGGGGTGGGGTGAGGACTGAGCTTGCTGGGTCTCTGGGTAGCTGAGAGAAGCCCTCTCCTTCCCTTCTGAAGAAAAGCAGTGTGCTGACTGAGCATCCCCAAAAAGCTGAAGGAGGTATTTGAAGAAAACGACCAAAGCAGAAAAGGAGAGGAAGATGGAAAGAGGAATGCAAACTATTCTGTCTCTTCTAGAAAATAGTGACCCTTAGTCCTGGCACCCTGATCTCCAGTTGGTCCCTCCTTCAGTCTCACAGTTCCAGCCCCTGCCTGAGGCTTCCTACACAGAAAAAGGAAGCCAGCAGGTACTCTCAGGTGGAGACCCAGACCCTTTTCTCTCCCTCTCTCTGTAACTCAGGCAGGCACTGATAAGCTCAGGAGAGTCCAAGGCCTGTAGACATGTAGGAAGCAAGAGATCTCATACAAGGAAACATTTTGATTCGACCCAGTGACATCTCAAACAGCAAGAAAAGATGGTTAAAATGGTTTAAATTCTCATTAAAAGCACACCTATTGTTTAATGAGTTTCCTTCTGGAATGATAAAGATGTCCTCTAACTGGACAGAAGTAATGGTTGCACATGAAGGTACTCAATGACATTGAATTGTACACTTTAAAATGTTTAATGATTGGGGCTGGGGATTTAGCTCAGTGGTTCCGGTGCCTGCCTTGCAAGCACAAGGTCCCAAGTTCCATCCCCGGTACCAACAAAAAAGGTTAATGGTTAATTTTATGTTATATGCATTTTACAAATAAAAAGGCACAACTATTAAATGTAAATTCTTTTTTTTTTTTGGTACTGGGGATCGAACTTCCATCCTCAAGCTTGAAGGGCAGGCGTCGGAATCACTGAACTAAATCCCCAGCCCTTAAATGTAAAATTTTAAAGTTGCAAAAGGTTACCAGCTGGAATGCTGGAGAGAATGCCACATGACCTCAGTAAAGTTAGAAATGGTCCATCAAAGTAAGGTGGAATTTTATGAGAAAAAGAAATAGGAGGAAAATGGCCTAGGGATGTAGAGTGGCAGAGCACTTGCCTAGCATGCATGAAGCCCTGGGTTCAATCCCCAGCACTGCAAATTAAGTAATTTTTAAAAGCAGGAAGACCACGGTGATATATGTGCATCCATGTTTATACCAGCACAGTTTGTAATAGCTAAAACTTGGAAACAGCCCAGTTGCCCATCAACTGGAGACTGGATAAAGAAGATGTGGGTTTTTTTTTTATAAAATGGAGTACTACTCAGCCATAAAGAATGAGAAACTACAGACATTTATAGCTAAGTGGATGCACATTGAGGCCATATTCTTTTTTTTTTTTTTTTTTTTTTGGTACTGGAGATCGAACTCAGGTCCTTGCACTTGTGAGGCAGGTGGCAGAACCACTGAGCTAAATCCCTGGCCCGAGGCCATACTCTTAAGTCAAATAAATAGGACACACATGTGTAAATACTGAAGTTTCTCTGGTGTGAAAAACTAAAAGTGTAAATAAGAATCAAAATGTATAACTGATGTTATAAATAGGAAGAAAATGTCTAAAGGAATAGGGGAAGTGGGAGGGGAAGGAGAAAGGAAAGAAGGGAAAAGAAAAAATATGAGAAAAGGAAAAACAAGGAAACAAAGTCTTTGTAAATAGGGAAGGGTGGAGGGGGTGAAGGGAGGGCAGGGAATGGGGAAAAAATAAGAACCAAGATACATCATGTAAAGGTACAAGATGCCAGTGATGAATGTAACTGTAATGTAAAAAAGGAGGACGAGGGCCAGGGATTTAGCTCAGTGGCACCTTGCCTGCCTTGCAAGTTCAAGGTACTGAGTTCAATCCCTGGTACAAAAAAAAAAAAAAAAAGGAGGAAGAAAACAAAGACATAAAAAATAATCATGAGGGATAATTAGGCTTAAACAGAACAGACTACCCTGGGTTGGAATAGGAAAGGAAAGGTCATCAGAGCATAAATCAAACAAAATCAAGTTAGTAAATATGCTAATGTGTTCTGGGGATATGTTTATAGGAGCATGATTTACATGAGCCAGGAAAATAATCTTTTTCTGCCATTTTAACTTGGCATTGGTCAGGCTTTTATTAGCACACAGTGTCCTGTTCTGGTCTCTGCACATGGCTGTAAGGGAAACAGCCTTTGCTAGGGTCACAAACATTATTTGCCCACTCCAGTGCATAGTAGTTGCCATAATTTTCAGCCCTACAAATGAATCCTGGGAACACTAATGCTTCCAACAACTCTGTTCAATTATCTCTCCTGTTATGAGGTTCATACAGCTTTCTCAAGCCATAATTTAAGCGTTACACTCAGGCTTTAAGACAGTGCAAAGGAACTGGCTCTCATAAATACTGGCAGCAGCTGTGTTTGGGCTGGGCTCTGACAGGTCCAAGTCATGCCCCCATGTGGTCACACAGGGGCTCTGCAGTTTTCACAAATGCAAAATTCACTAACACCTTACTCTACTTCTGTCAACACAAAGCCACAGACAGACAGTGCTTTCTAGCCAAACAAAATGATGAAAGTAAATGAGATTAGGTGCCTTATTTCTTGTTGTGTTGCTATTTGAAGTTGAGGACCCCGAGATTCCCCCAGGAACCTCAGCTTTCAGCCAGGATTCTAGTGGTAAAGAATCTGAGGCCACAATTACCTGGAGCAGCTGGACTCACACGGGGACCGTTGCTGCCCTTCATACTGCTGCACCAGCGCCCGCACACTCCAGTATGGATTCTCAATCTCCTCATCCATACTGCTGTTCCTACAGCCCGGGGGCACCAGCAAAGTAAAGGGTGTCAGTCAGTTCTGCAGTTCACACAACTGTACTAGTACTGATATACTGCTGTTCTATGAACTATAGGTAAGAAGTAAGGCAAAACCTGCCTCAAAGACACTTGAAACTTGGTACAGAAGGAAGACACATAAACAAGCCATTTTGTTCATCACACTGTCTCTCAGCAGATACACAACCCCACAGCATTTCTTGCCATGGCTCTCCAGGACTGCTTGGCCTTCTGGATTTCAGGGTAGGCCCTCCCCCAGAAGCAAGCACACTGTGCCAAAGGTATGTATTTAAAATTTGGGCCAGGCATGGTGGTGCACGCCTGTAATTCCAGCACTCCAAAGGCTGAGGAAGGAGGATCACCAAAAGTCTGAGGCCAGCCTGGGCTAGTGAGTTCAAGGCCAGCCTGAACTATATAGTGAGACCCTGTCTCAGAGTCTCAAACACACACACACACGCACACACTGGGGCACCAAAGCAAAAACTTTCGCTTATGGTTCCTTTACATTCTGCTAAGTGTAGAATAAGCCATCCCCAACCTCCATTCCATATTCTTTCCTGCAACATGGGGCTGTTTGGGTGGTACGTGTATCTACTGCATGGTGTCAGAAAATACCAAAGAGAGAGAGATCAGCTGTTATCCCCAGATTTCTACCCTTACCTCTGTCTGTATCGGAAAATATCCCGTCCTGACCGTGACATATCATGGCACACATCAGCCAGAGCAGCAGCTGCTCCCTGGGCTACTGCTGTGGCACAGTGTGGTTGGTGACTCTGCAGTGGGGATCTGGAGTCTTGTCCTTGGCTTACTGTCCTGCTAGAACCAGGTTTGAAATGAGCTGCCAAGGCAAGGACCAGCCTCATGATAGATTTTAGGTTTCCTTCCACAATATCTAGAGAGACAAGAACAATAGATGCTGAGAGAAAAGCAGAGGCTGAGGACATGCATTTAATATGTATTGCTAGCGATAGAGGCAAGCAAGGCAGTCAAGGTCTCTGTCCTCACGTAGGTATGTTCAACAAGGGAGACAGAAAAAAAATTTTAATGAAGTATAATAAAGTACAACACTACATTTAGACAAGAAAACTAGAGTCTCTGGGAGCTCAGAACAGAGGCATCTTATGGGGATCAGGGATATATTCCTAAAGGAAGTGACTTTCCAACTGAGACTTGATTGATAAATAGTGGTTCATTAGATAAGAGGAGAAAAAGGAAAAATGAACAGTAGGTATGAAGGTCTAGAGGTAAGAGAGCATGACATATTAGAGCTACACTGTCCCATATGAGAGCCATAACCTACATGTGGCTATGAAGCACTTAAAATGCCACTACTCTGCATTGAAATGTGCATGGGTGTAGTACTAACTTAGCATACATTAAGGAATGCAAAATATCTCATTAGACTTAGCATAGAATGCAGAATATTCAATAACTTTATATTGATATGCTGAAATATTATTTTGGATATACTGGGTTAGATAAAATATTATTAAAATTAATTTTACTTGTTTCTTTTTTGTAATGTGTCTATTAGAAATTTTTAAGTTACCTATGCAAGTCTCAGTATATATCTGTAGTCAAGCCCTGTGGTGGAGAAACTAAAAGAAAATCAGCATAGCCAGAGCACCAGGTCTGGGGGGAGAAGGGAAAGATGAGGCTGCCAGGGTAGGAATCAAATGTGGGCCAAACGAGACCAGGGAGATATAGGAATGATTCTGGATCTCACCCTACAGGCCTTCAGATGCAGGAGTAGTGCAAGCATATGTACTCTTAGATCATTCTGGCTGTAGTGTGGAAAGCAAAAAAGGAGGGGCAAAAATCAATGCAGTAGGACTAATTAGGAAACTTATTTCTCCAGAAAAAAGAAAATGATGCCCTGAATGGCACTGTTCCCTCAAAATAGCTGACTTTACTGGGCCAGATCCCCAAGCCCCCTCCACATGGGGACCAGAACAAAGATATCTGGTATTCTAAGTTCTGCCCTAGAAAAAAAGAGAAGAAAGCAGATTTAAAAAAAAACCAATGTGATAGATCTGGTGAAAGTAAATGAAAGGAGATAGGTAAAATTCTATTTGTTTAGCTTCAAAATCTTTCATATACACCCAAAGGCCTGGAAAGGGGTTATTTGAGACCTTCTATCAGATGCTCTCAATGGTCAGTCCTTCCCTACCCAAATGACCTCAACACAGGGAACACCAATAATCCCATATGAAAGGAGGGCTCTTTCTGCTCTCATTCTTATCAGACCCACAGGCAATAAGACCCCAGAATTAGAAGCTAAAACAGTCACAGATCTAGGCAGTTCTAGAGAACTAGCCAGAGGACCAGGGAGCCTATGCTTTCTTAGGACACCTGCACAGCTCCTGCCTTGCAGCCTGGCAAATCCACCATGAAGACAGGATATGCACTAGTTATGGAGCCCCTTTCATCCTCCCTAGACTATTCCAATATCCAAAAATGAAATACTATAAAAATTTTCCTTCTAGAAAACTGGATGGAAAAAGCATAGGGTTATGACAATTTGAAATAATACTTGGTCATGAAACCCAAGGAACTTGAAAAAATGTAATCTATCTTCATTTTTGATAACTTAAATGAGACATTCTAAAATTAATATCCCAACTTTGTCATTTATTCTCTTATCATTAATTTTCCCACACACACTCAAGTTCATCTGTATTCAATTAAAATGAACAGAGAACATCTATCTCCAGCTAGGCTTCCAAAGCACTCAGATTTTGATAATCACTCCATCCCCAAAGGAAAATTATGTGGAAAAACGATACAAGGTCATGGGCCTGATCCTACTCCAGTCTTCTCAGAGCCCTTGGCTATATAACCAACAACCCTTCTGAAACTGGTATACCCCAGTGAGGTTCAACAACTCATTCACCAAGGAGGTGATGAAGCACCGCACTGACCTTTAGCTGAAGTCTGGTGCATACGAATCTTTTTGGAGGCCACAAACTGTAGCACTTTCTCCACATTATTCTTCATCTCTTGTTGGTTACTAGGACTCAACTGTACCCCACTCAGCTTTTCTCCTGCTGTTAAGAAAGAGGAAATATATTATAGGGAGGAATATTTTCAACATTACACAGCAGCCAAACAAACAGGAAGGGAGTTCTGATATGAAAACTAAAATTATCCATAAATGTACAAGTGAAATAAGTCCTGGTGCTTGTAATTTGGATGGGAAGAGGAACGTGAAAAGCCTTCTGGAGGGTCTTTTATTTATTTTTTTGGAGGGTCTTTTAATTATCAAGACTATGAACTTATGGTCCTTTGAAGTTACTGTGATAACATTTATCCATTCAGCAAACATCCTGTTGTGTGCAAGGCACTGTTAAGGGCACCAGAAAATAGTGAACCAGGTAAACAGAGTACCTTCCCTCACAGAGTTTACATCTGTAAGGGTAGCAGATAACCAAGTCAACAAGTTAATGTTTAATGTAATTTCAGGTAATGGAAAAATACAGAGGAGTGATCATGATAATAATAATAATGAGGCCTCTCTGATAATATATTTGTGCAGAGATTGAATAAAATAAGAAATGTTAAGATTTGAAAAGGAACCGTTCCAGCCTGGGGAACCACAATACAAACCCAAAGTTGGGAAAGAGCTCAGTGTATATTAGGAAGAGCAACAAGACCAGTGCAGTTGGAGTGAAGTGAGCAAAGGGCCAAAGAGGTGGGTAAAGTCAAGTCACATCCAGCTTTTTGGACCACAATAAAGTACTTGAATTCTATTCTAAGTGGAATGAGAAGCCAACAGTTTCAGGCAAAGGATTAGCATTCCCTAGTTTGTTTCTCAAAGTTGACTCTGTGTGGATGCAGATTATGTGAGGGAAGAGAGAGATTAGTTAGGAGGATAATGAAAATAATCCAGGGAAGAAGTAATGATGGTTTCAATTAAAGTGGAAAAGAATGACTGGTGATAAGTCAGATACTGATTATATTCTCAATATAAACCACACACTATATGCAAAGGATTAGATAGGATACACAAGGAAAAGAAAATAATTAAGAACAGCTTCTAAGGGATTGGGAGGTAGCTTGGTCGAAAGTACTTGTCTAGCAATTGTGAGGCCCTGGATTCAATCCCCAGTACTGGGATGGGGGTGCCTCCTAAGTGTCTTGCTTTAACAATTGGGTGGATGATAATGAGTTCCTCAAATGAAGAAGACTGGAGGATAAAGCCATGGGTGTGGGGAAGGAAACCAAAAGTTCTGATAAGGACATGTGAAATTGGAGCTGCATGTTAGATACCCAAGTGGGTATTTTGACTAAGAAATTAGATATTCATGTCTAGAACTCAAGGAAAAGTGAATGGCTGAATAGGCAAATTCGGATAGAGACTCTGAAGTTATTTTTATATAGCAAAGTTATAATTTAAAGTAGTGTTTAAGGGCTGGGTACGTAGCTCAGTGGTAGAGCATGTGTCTAGAATGCACCAGGCCCTGGGTTCAATGCTCAGCACTGCAAAAAAGATAAAAGAAAGTACGGCTTCTAAGGGTTGGGGAGTTAGCTTAAGAAAGAACACAGGAGAGATAAAAGGGGGCAGGGGGATCATACCCTTTAGTATTTCCTACCAGAAAAATCTAAAAAATAGGTTCCATGTATAACTTATTTAAATAGATGAAAAATTAAGTATATAAAATGGGCTTTGGAATAAAGCGGGTCTAGGTTTGTACCTCTACTTTAGCATTTACAGTTATGCAACCTTGTAAAGTTGCTTAGTCTCTAGACTTCATGAGTAAAATAGTAGTGTAGGTTAAGCATTACTAATCTGAAGATTTCAGATTTTCAGATTAGTAATATTCTATTCAAATATTCCAAAATCTGACACATTCTTAGCTACAAGCATTTTGCATAAGGGATACCCAACCTGTATGCATATGCCCCTCATAAATAAAATCAAAAATATTGTGCTTAAATTCTTTGTTTGACACTATGTGCTACTATGTACTCAATAAATATATTTATTTGTATAAATCCTCTTTTAAACTTGTTTCCCAAAGTTGGGGACAATAGTATCTGTTTGCCAAGGATGTGATGATTAAATGAAATCAAACAAAATAGAGCCGGGGATTTAGCTCAGTGGTGCTACACCGGCCTTGCAAGCGCAAGGTCCTGAGTTCAATCCCGGGTACAAACAAACAAACTAGAAAGTGTTCAATCCTGACATTACTATTGGCATTGTCATAGTCACTGTAAATGAATGCTCTGATGAATTCAACAGCTGTCCCTACAAGGGACTCATGGATAGGCTACCTGTTGCAAACCTTGCTGCTTCTGTACTACCCACAAGCGCCACATCCCTCCAGGAGTCTAAAGCAAAATCAGCTGACTAATGAATGTTTCAGTACTTGTAATGTGCACATTAGGGGTGGTGGAAACAAAAAATTTGTACTGTATATGTTCTTAAAGAACTCAGTCTATATAGAAGACATAGGTAAGTAAACAAATGATTATGGCTACTTCACCGAGAAAAATGATTACAGAACTATGGACAAATGCTATGTGTCTTAGTTACTTTTCTCTCATTGCTGAGACAAAAATACTTGACATCCAAAGCTAAAAGGGGAAAGGTTTATTATCTTATAGTTCGTAAAGGTTTTGGTCCACAGGTGGCTGGCTCCAAGGCAGAGGGGCACATGACAGAGGGACAATTCAGAAGAAAACAACAGTTCATGGCTCCTACAAGGTAGCAAGAGCAGCAAGAGACCTTAACAGGGTCTTTCTGCCCCCTTTATCTTATCCAGACTGCTGGGATAGGGTGGTGCCTTACCAATCAGTGTAGTGGTTTAGTAATCACATGCCCTTAATCCCAGTGTCATACACTCTAGATTCAGCCACCTTTGAAAAAACCCTAATACTGCATGAGGCTTTGGGGAGACTTCTAGACACAAACCATAACACTATGGAAATAAGTTATGATACTATGTAGTAAGAATGGCACCAGGGCTTCACAAGAAAAAAATCCTTTTATGAAACAAGTAGTAGTATCATAGAGAAAAGGAAACAACTTTCTTTGAAGGGCATACAGAGAATAAAGGTGGTCCTGTTCTGGTCTACCATAGCATCACAGTCCAGAACCAACTGACCAACAATCTCGATGAGATATGCCAGGATCACCCCATCCCGGAGATCCTTTCGCAGGTCCTGTACAGGCTTCACCAATGGCCTCTTCTTCAGCTGTGCATTCACCCAGGCCACATAGGCCTGCAGCTGTTGCTGGAAAATAAAAGGTGGAAATAAGGAAAGGATGGCATATTAGTTTTATTCCCTGTCCTTTATCTCTAAGGCAGCACAAGAGATTGGAGTATGGTGAACAATCTGTATCCAGAAGGAAAAGGAGGAGGTTTTAAGGAAAGAAGAAAAGTGGTATCAGGGTCAGACCCAGAGGATGTCCTAAAATTCTCTAGTTTTATACTAATCTCCAGGGATAATATAACATCTGACTTGGGTGGCACTGGAGACATAGATAAGGAGGTGAGTGTTTCAGTGACTGACTTCTGCTTTTCTCAGGTTTGGCTCTGTTGACAGGATGAGAGGTAACCCAGGATCCCAGCCAGTTTTCCGATGCAATCACTGTTGCCAGCAACTCACCAAGCTTTTCAGTAACAATCCCTCATGCATCGTATGTACAACAGACTGTGATACTCATACAGTTCTCTTGCAGGGCCAGAGATAAATAATCCAAGCTCAGAGCTGCCTCTCCCATAGTTGCTTTCTTTTTTTTTTCTTATGAAGTTATAATCTAACCAGGACAGCAGATGAGTTATTAAATAATTATTTGTGCAGTCATAATTGGGAATAATTACCTTTCTTTCTCCTTTGGAAGCAATGTACTGAGATGAAAAGGTATTTAAATTTCCAGCTGTATCTTTCATTTTATTTAAGACATAACTGTGTAATGACTGTCAGAAATTGCACTTTGCAGAGGAAGAATAGAAGAACCTGCAGGCCCTGGTGGAGTCTATTACCTTAAAAGGGGACATCAAAAATAATTAATATTGGGTCAGGGTTTTAGCTCAGTGGTTCCACCACCTGCCTCGCAAGCACAAGGACCCAAGTTCGATCCCCAGTACCAAGAAAAAAAAAACATAAGTAGTATTATAATCTTTGTTATCCAAAAGCAGACTACACAGAGAGAATGCTGAAAAAACAGATCTATGGATGGTGCTTTTAAAATGTATAAGCTCCATAGCTGCTTTCTTCAGAATGAGATTTATGTGAAATCGTCTCATAGTCAACCCAAGATTTACTCTCCTAAACCCATAATCTTAGGATTGCTACAGAGTTTGTTTTAATCCCTGCTTTATGTTGTCAAAGAGGATCTAGTTACCTAAAACGGACACAAAGGAAAAAGAACAGGTAGGGTAAGCAGTGTTACTGAAGATTGAGTGGCACCTTCAGTTACTTCAGACAGAGTTAGGGTCCTGTATTACCAGAAAACTGTCAGGCATCTGGATGGAGATGTAATTCATCCCAACCCTGGAACAACCTTACATCTTCCATGTTGTTCACTGGACAGAACTTGTACTCAGATTGTTTATTCTGAATCTTTGGTCAGAAGATGGGCACTAATTTCTAAGTAGCACATGAACAATGTCCTAGTCCAGACAATATCTGTGTGTGGTTTCTGTAGCAGCCTGAGACCCTGAACATAAAAATTAAATTCAAGAGCTCACTGAATTAAATTATAATTTGGTTAAAGTAAAGTTGATTTTTAAATCCTAAGTACTTTCTTAATGAAATGATGTTGGAAATTACCCAGTGGCTGCTTCCTGAGCTTAAATTAAATCTTCATTAGTTTCATTCTGTCAATTTATGGAAATAAAGTTATTTTTGTGTGTGTGCTAAGGCAATAATCTATCAGCTACTGAAAAAATGTAGGAAATGCAATAATCAGGAGGGAATGGGGAGGGCCTAATGTTACTTAGTGCCTACCATGAACTAAACACTATTTTTGGTGTTTTATGCACATTTAAAGAGTAAATGAGCCAGGAGTTTAGCTCAGTGGTTCTGGCGCCTGCCTCGAAAGAGCAAGGTCCCAAGTTTGATCCCCAGTACCAAAAAAAAAAAAAAAAAAGAGTAAATGAATATATCTGTCACAGGACCTGACACACAGTGATGTTTACTATTAAATGGTCAATATTATTGTCATCATTATCATCATTCAATTCTCAAAAAAGCATTACATGGCCGGGGATTTAGCTTAGTGGTTTCACTGCCTGCTGCGCAAGCGCAAGGACCCGAGTTCGATCCCCAGTACCCAAAAAAAGCATTACCGAGTATTATCTCCATTTTATGGAGAGTTTGGAGAGGTTATACAACGTCTCTGATGTCCCCATAGCTCGAACATAGCAGATGTGGTGGTAAAACAGTAAATGTTGGGGCCAGGGATTTAGCTCAGTGGTGCTATCACCTGCCTCAAAAATGCAAGGTCCAGAGTTCCAACCCCAGGACCAAAAAAAACCCCCCCAAAAACCCCAGTAAATGTTGTCCCAGAATTTACCAAGGGTCTCCTGCTATCCAACTCACTTCTGTGTAAGGCTCCAAGGTCTGTGCACACCTTGCACTGCCTAAAGCAGACCAGACAAAGGGTACCTCTGGAGCAAACCATTGCTGTCTGAGGAAACGGAGTTAAGACCAAAAAAGGGCATTAAAAATAACAGCTTTGTCTGTAATCCCAGCACTCCTGGAGGCTGAAGCAAGAAGACTACAAGTTGAAGCCCAGCCTGGTCAACTTAGCAATTTAGTGAGATCCTGTCTCAAAATAAAAAATAAAAAGGGCTGGGGATGTAGTTCAGTGTGAAGACTCTGAGTTCAATCCCTAGTATCACACAAAAATAAATAAATAAATAAATAATCAGAGGTGACTGAAAATATGGTGAAAGTTTAAATTTAAAATATTATAGTAGGGCCGGGGATTTAGCTCAGTGGTTTGGCTGCCTGCTGTGCAAGTGCAAGGACCCAAGTTCAATCCCCGGTACCAAAATAAATAAATAAATAAATAAATAAAATATTATAGTAAAAGACACACTGCCATTACCCATCCCCATACTCACACCTGGCTTTGAACACACCACATTTATACATTTATCCCATCATTCTTGCCACTTTTTTGTTTGTTTTGGGTTTTTAAAGAAAGGGTCTCACTATGTTTAGTCCACGCTGGCTTGAACTCACTATGTAGCCCAGGCTGGCCTCAAACTCACAGGAATCCTCCTGTCTCAGCCTCCTGAGTGCTGAGATTGTAGGTACTCTCTTGTGACTTTCTGAAGCAGTTCTGGAAGTCCTCTTTAGTTAATGTCATTATAACGTGTGATTAAAAACACAGTAAATAATCCTGCTGAGTGAGATGCAATGTAAAAGCAGGCTTGTAAGAACACTAGATATGTCCTCAATCACATTATTCGCTGGATCTAGCACTGTCTGATTTCTGGCTCTTCTCCAGGTCAAAATGATCATGAAAGGTAAATGTTTTGAATTGAATCAGGACACTGAAGTAGCCACAACAACACAATTAAAGACACTCACAAAAGGACTTAAAGAACTGCTTTGGAAATTGGCAAGAATGATGGGATGTATGTTTGAAGGAGGCTGATGGCACTGTGTCTATAACTGTAATTATTTGATAGCTCTTTTTTTTCTTTCTTTTTTTTTTTTTTTTTGGTACGGGAGATCAAACTTGGGACCTTGTGCTTTCAAGGCAGGTGGCAGAACCACTGAGCTAAATCCCTGGCCCTAACTGTAATTATTTTATTTAAACACACATCATGTTTTTCAGTCCCAGCATATATATCCTAAGCAATTTGCCTGTTATCTAATACTACCCTCAATTCACCCTCCACACATTCCTGCTTAAAACCCTCCATTGGTTTTTCACTACACTCAAAATAAAATCCAACTTCTTCACTCCCATTTAAGTCTGCCATATGCCAGCCCTTGCCTGTTCTCCAGCTTCACACAGTAATCCTCCACATCCCCCTACACCTCTCCCAAAGCACCCAGCCACTCTACCTCCTTTACCTGCTTTCTCTTTGCAAGTCTCAAGTCAAGCATTATCTTTTGGAGAACGCCTTCTGTAACCCTCTCACTTACCTCGGACTCCTTAAAAGGATCATTTATCAAGACATTCAGATCAACAAATTTGACTGCTGGCACTGTACAAAGAGCCTCATGGCTTCAAGAAGCTTGCAGAAAGAAAGAGGGAAGGGAAGGAGAAAAGCTTGCAGACTGGTAGAGACAAGTGCTAAGACGGGGTGTATAGGTGTGAAGAAAGTATTAATCCAACCTGAAGACAAGCTTCAGGGTATTCCAAAAGGAGCAAAGGAGGCAAAGAAGATAGTGAACTCAAAAGAGCTAGGGTCTGAAAAACGCCACGTGCAGGGAGTCACAATAGTTACAATTATTTGACACTTAGAGTAACAGGTGCTCTAAAGTATTTGTTTGAATCAGTGAATCATTTGTCACATTTCATCAAGCCAAGAAATACAATAATTCAAAAGTTAATCATGCAGGGACAGGTAAGAACAAGTATTTTTCATTAGGCCAAGATAATTTCTACTTAAGTAACCATAGCCTTCCCCCAGCTGTAGAACAGAAGGAAACTGTCTCTGATGTGAAACTGATTAGAAATTCCTAAAGGTACTTTTCATGCACTTTAATGACAGCTCTGGTCTTTGAGACTGCACAGCATAAATGGTAACAGTCACTGCTTTTCTGAAAAATTCTATCACAAAACCTATGATGTGTCCTTTAGACACATTTTCTCTAATGCTCATCTACAGGAAGATGTTACTGTATCCGTGTTGCTGATTGGAAATTGAAACTAAAAATCAGATGAAATACTTGTTCAAGGTCACCCAGATAGTAAACCATGAATACAAGATTCAGATCTACCTCCTAACCCAGTGTTCTTTCCACACCTAAATAAATACATCTCTGAGTTTTAAATGACTTCATTAAAATTATCAGCATGCACTTTAGTCTAAACCACCTCCACTGCATTCAATGCTTTAGTCCCTTTTACAATATTCTACACTATGTGACTATCTACTACTCAAAATGTGGTTCCTAGAGCACCACTGGGGGACCTGGTAGAAACACAGAGTCCCAGCTCCTCCCTAGCCTTACCAAAGCAGAACTTCTATTTTAACACAATCCCCTAGTGACTCCTGCACAGTTAAGTGTGAGAAACACTGACCCAGCCCACTTCTCCCATA